CACACACACACACACACACACACACACACACACACACACACACATAAATATATAGTTTTTGGGCTGTGTATTCAAGCAGGATGTGTTATAGGGCATCCAGTCCTTACCCACTCACCATTTTTCATATGAGTTCACTCACTGCAGTGATCTTTGCAGAGAAGAGAAGCCTAAAGAAAAGCCACAATATTTTATAATTAAATACCCATTGTGTACATATATACAGTATATGTGTATGTAGATATACTGTCTCCTGTCAGTGTTTTACGACCCCCTCCTGWAAGTCTGAATTCTGTTGAGTCTGCTGCTGAACAGAAACACAGACGTCGTCTTTTAAAAATACTTTACCACTCGCTACAGCTACAGCTTCCAACTCGACAGAACAATTTAACAAGTGTTCCTTTATTTTTAAATATTGCCTTACGTAACACTGCAGAGTTATCAGGATGTGGTGTTTCTTTGCATTTCTTCCTCCACTGTCACAGTCAGCGTGTTTTATTTGTGTGGAAAGCATCTGGGTTAATCTCATATTAGTCAACAAGGATCAGACTCACAAACGCGCTTCTTGTTTCACAGAATTGTGCTCTAAATTAAACTCAGAGTGTCAGTGAATTTCCATGTATTACTTTCAGTAATAGGAATAAATAAAGAATGTAGATAATTTTATTTAAATACAACCAAAAGGGTTTTTTTTTATTTTCACTTGTAGAGCATGTTGAGTTCTTAGAATCCAGAGCTGTCTGCGTGAAATATGTTTAACCACTGAGACTTTCTTTCCATTCTTAATAATAAAGTTTGTGTCATTAATTGCAAAGCAAACAGAACCAAAAAGTCCCAGAAATTACTTTAAAGTATTAAGCATAGATTTGCAACTTTACAGTCCTCACCTTCTGTGCTGAAAGTTGCCATCACTTGTGTCGTGTTGTTGCAGTTCAGTGTGAAACGTGTACGCCGYTGTATTTATATTAATGTCATCTGAGACATCCTGTGGTTCCCATTACTGGTCCGTGAATTCCTCGCCCATTACACCCAGTGCATCTCTCAGTTCCACGGCTGGACTATCAAACTGAAATGCAGCAAGGCCAACAGAGTAAACAATATGTTGAGCATTAAGATCTGACCTCAGCATAATCTTCATCTTATGCAGAAATCATACGAGGTTAAATATGCTTTGTAAGTAGATTACAGCGCCCCCTCCTCCTATCTGCCGCAGACGTTGGCGCTCTGCATTGAAAGCCCAGAGATGTAATCCAGATTCATAATCCAATGATTCTTACAAGCTGTTTTGTGGCTTTAAATACTGGGTATTTGTGTTGATTTAATATCATTCTAATCTCCTTTAAACCAGTCGCTGTCTGCTTCAAAAACACGTTATTTCTTTACCCTTCAGTTCCGTCTCAGCAGACTTCAGAGGGGCTGATGAACCTCTGATGGGTTTGCTGTTGGAGTCAGAGACGAATCAAAAAATTACCATGAAACTGAATAAATGAACGTGTTTTGTTATGGTGTTTTGACAAAGAAAAATTGTTTTATACACATTTCTGTTTCACAAAATTAAAAGAAAAATATAAAATCTAATGCTTGGTAAAATAAAWAGTTCAGGACAATTTTTTTTTTTTTTACTTATTTGTTCACATCCATTATTAAGGTTAGGATTTTTTTTATTTGTTGCATATTAATCTTATCAACGTCAAATATTTAGTATTTAAAGACATTTTTGTTCTTAGAATTCCCAAAACATRATGATCCTAACACTCATTTTGGTAAATTAGAATTGCTGTTCAGTTGAAAATATCCCCTTGTTAGCCTGTGCCCTGTTCTTTTGTTTTACTTTCCGTAAATCAGGATTAGTTTGCATGTCTTCTCAGTTAGAAAATAAATAAATTCATAAAAACAAAATATTACAAAATAAAACACCAGAAATTTTTTATATTTCAAAGTCAAATATGATGTTTGGTGTGTGAGTTTCCAGCCGTATATTTCTGCTGTGAAGCAGGAAGTTTATCACAGTTTGTGAATTTCATTGAACTCAACAGGTGGTGCTGAGAATTTTGACTTGAATGTATTTACTGTCAATAGTACTTTAAGATAATTGAGTTGTCATAGAGCTTAGGCTGATAATTATCCTTGCTATTTTTATTTAGTTTTATTGTAAGTGGATTCTGCTCCTGGAAGACTTCTGCAGCGCTCTGACTCGCACGTCTAATATTATTAGATGCTATGAGTTCAGCCTGAGCAAATCTGTTAATGCATAAGACCATAAGAACCTCTTAGGTTCCAAGCGAGGTCACAGTGAAGACACACCAGATTAATATTTGATCATGCAGAGGGGCCCTTAATCAGATTTACTTATTCCTTCAGCTGAGTGCTCTGCAGCAATTATCATAATTGTTGTGCTAAACATACTTTTTTATTTATTTATTTATTTATTTTATGGCTGGTGGCTGGACGTGAGCGTGTGCCGTGAGAGAGGGATTCCAGCACCAAACCCAATTAATGCAGGCTGTATGGCTGGACAGGCTGATGGAGAAGGAGGATAAATGGGAGCGCAGAAGGGGGGATCTAAGAGCAGAGACACAAGTCCAACTGAGTGACAGAGTCCAGGGCAGTGCAGGTAACTCCAGGTACCCGGAGTCCCTCGGGACTTATGCTGTGCAGGAAGCATCGTGCAGCAAGCATGCAGAAAACAAGACTTTGACCCAACAAAAATGAATCAAAATAAAATACTTATTGATGTTGTGCTTTATGTGTTTGCTTTCTGGGCAGTTTGTTTATTCGTTGTTTTTCATTTAGCAGAATAATTTGATTTAACAAAAATGTTTAAACTGGGTGTGAAAAAAACAGAGCGATGATGTGCCTTATTTTCCAAAAAACAAATAAATTGTTTGGATAATATTTTAATTAACAGCATCATTGYTTGCATTTTTATCCAAAAAAATAATAATTGATTAAATTAATGTACGAAAATGTTCAGAACATTGTTTTTCTTTAAAATGGGTCACATGAATGTAAACAATTGAGGTTAAATGTATAAGTTTTGTAAGGTAAAACAAAATTAATTTTATTTTTTTTAAATCATGCTTTACTGAAGCACACACACACACACACACACACACACACACACACACACACACACACACACACACACACACACACACACACACACACACACACACACACACACACACACACACACACACACACACACACACACTGATTTGCTAAATTTGCATATACATGACCTTGAAATTTTAGTTACTTTTTAGTACAACACACACACATGCACAAAAACAAATGCAAATAAGGGATTAGTTATGAATTATCTACAAACCTCAGTGTCTTGACTGTCACTTGTCAATTTATGTAGTAATTAAAAATATATAAACTTTTTTTAAATTAAAAAAATGATGTATTTTCTTTTTAAATAATATTTTAACTAATCATGCAATTGCTACATACAACAACCAACAGATTGTGGTTTTTCTTAAAAAAATGCTTTATCACACATACATGGTGCCAGTGCAGGTAACACTGAAGAAAAAGAAATGTCCAGAACACAGTGCAATTCTCTTGAAAACATTTTGAACAGACTCATTTGTGTCTGAAATCCTGTTCATGTGTCACATTGAACACTAAAATTACCAAAGCAAAACTCTGCTCTCTGTCACTTTGATCGCCGTCTCATGAATATGCTGTCAGCCAGCCAGTTTGTCATAAGCATGTCTGTCAAACAAATGAGCCTGCGGACCACTTCTGTCTGTATGAAAGCCATCTATCCTGCTGAAGGCATTGCACAGCATTGGAAAACACTGGGAGAGATGGATCCCCATTAATCTATGTTGACTGGCTGGAAATTGCATCTTTGTAATGAGTATTAGGTGTGCATCTACATGAATTAAAGCTGAATGAGCCTCTGATTGATTACCTCGTCCCAAATGATGCTCCTTCCCGTGATCATTATTGTTTAAAAGTGACTAAATCATATCGGGATGATTAAAGGTCTGTGCAGGGAGGGTGGACGGTAAAATAAAGGCACAAAGTTTGAAGAATTGTTATTTCTCAGATCCTGTTTAAATCCTGTAGTTGTGGTTTGTTGTAGTTGAGGATGTTTGAGGAAAAACAGGGCTGCAGCTGAATCCACATACTTGACAAATAAAGCAGCTGGGGAAGAGTTCTGATGGGGATGTAATGTTTTCAAAAATTCAAACTCTTGAACAACTTTCACAGAGAAGAAAATCTTTGTTGTGACATAAATGCTTGTTTGAAATGTACTTTTATATATGTTGGTATTTATTTGTCTATTTTGAGGGACCAACATTTTTTGCCTGCAAAGGCACTGCAGCATTTATATCACCTGAAAAAAAAAATAATTTAGACATACCTGCCTGTTTTTGTTTAACTACATATTAAATACATATGTGGGCAGCTGACTTAGTAGTATTTATCTCAGAAATAAAGTCTTGTCAGTTTTTACTCCAATTTAACTTTGGAATATTCCAAAAAATCACCTCACATATCTCAAAACAGACCTGACTAAGAATGTAACACTTTTTTTTCCTTTCAGATTTGTCAACTTTATGTAGCATCATACGATTACTTCATGCTGTTTTTTTTCCTTTGTAACAGCATCTTTCCAGAAGTGTATATGTAGAAAAAAAAAGAAAAAAAAAAAAGAAAACTTCCAGATTCAGAAAAAGCGCAGACCCCGTCACCCAGTATCTCGACATATTTACCGTACCTGGACGCACTAATGCGCCTTTGTAATGTCTGTCTGGTAATTATACTGCCAAGCACCCTGTTGGGGTAATTATACTAAAAACACCCTCATTAGCAGCATCAAGATGAAAACTCCCAGAAGCCTCAACATCTTTTCTCCCCCGTGCACTCATGGAAATCCAACTCGTCTTTACTGTTAACTTTCTGCTTGCCTAACCCCATAACAGTAACATATCACTAGTTTTCATCACTGCAACAAGGTTCGTCCTTATTAATGTAAAAATATGTTGCTGCCATGAATGCCATCCTCTAGTTATCCAGAAGCGTCACGATAAATAGGAATATCTGGGCTGTTTGCACTAAATTAAAACTTAAAAGCTTGAAGCTAACATGTTGCGCAGTAAACATGAGCGCCAGTTTACCCATAAAGGCTTTAGCTGAAATGTGTGTGGCGATATTGCTCGAATGTTTTAGAGCCAAACAATTTAGGGAGAAAACATAAAAGAATGGTAACGAAAAATGTAGTGGAGAGTTTTGCCCGGCTCATGCAAAACAAAATAAATAAATAAATAAAAATAAAATAAAATGCTACGCTATGCAGCTCATCAAGCCAACAACAAAATGATATTAGTTTCAAGCCCTGCATTGTCTGGCAATTTGCTCTCTTTAAATTATTCAGAGAGAAGGCTTTTTTTATGTCAGCAACTGTGTGTTTTCCAGTGACAAAGCTAGCTCTCACCTAATAGTTTCACTGTGTCTGCCGTTTTATGACTGACATAGCAATAAGCTGATTGTCCAGATATTTATGCCATCTGCAGCTAGGAGAGATAATTAAAGTATATAAATTAATCAAGTGCAATTAATTAGAGGCTTTATGTTCACAGCAGTACATCTTTGCATGTATAATTTATATTTATTGATTTGTTTGGTTTCATTAGCCCATAAGATATCAGTGCAAATGCATTAGAGAGGAAAATGCACAATTAGCATGCGGTGAGGGCTGCTGGTAATTGATACATCAGCGAGCACTCCCTGCAGATATAAAGCTGTGTAAACTGTCATAAGCAGTTACAATCGATGACTGATATTTCGCGCCATATCTCTCGCCTGATTAATGATGTTTTTGAAAGCGGCCCCCCTCTTAATGGGACCCTGATAGGCGTTTGGAATTTACTGTTTAATCAGGGGAGAGAATTTATTGCAGTGCAGAACCTGTGTCGTTGCTGGTGGAAATGTATGATTGGTCTCTGTAAGTGCTTATGCTGATGTTATTTGCTCCCGTCAGCAGCCAATATGGCTGAGCATTAGGAGCTTTGTGCTTCCCAGTTGATTTTTTTTCATTGACTGCGC